TAGAGAAGGAAAGAAAACCCAGCCCCACCTCCCCCTTCCTCCTCTTACCTCATCTGTTCTTGCCACTGCAGCTGCCGCCGCCGCCAGCCCCCACTAGTGTAGGGTTGCAGCTTCTTTCCCCTGCCAGGGTGAGCTGAAGGCTCTCCAGGAACCGTCTGGACTTTCAGCACCATTTTGGGAGTGCCAAGGCAGCCACGAGCAGCTATATGGTTTGCACACTCTTTGGCATGCAGATTGTTGTTTTTGAACTATCCAGTCCCTATTGTGTGACTCGGCCTCATAAACTTCCTCCTATTTATATACGTTCTACCACTTCAGTTCCGCTAGGGAACACTGCCTAACACACCGAAGAACAGCAATGAGATTTCTGTAAACCAAGAAATGCCCTTATCTACAGTGAAGCTCCCCACTGAGCAGAGTGAAAACAACAAAGAAGCTGCTTGTCTCAGCCTTAGGGTTTCTATAAGAGAAGCTAAGACAGTTACTTGAAAATTCATACACAAGTTGGACTTCGTGTCTTTGTTACAGGAAAACTCTCAAAAGGAAATTTAACCATGGGTCTGCTTCAATGCATAATACTTGAGAGTGACCAGCAGGGGGATTCTCAAGCTCAGCAGGGCCCTCACAGGATACCTCCAGATGAATTTCTAATAAAAATGAGAGGTTCAGAAAGAGCAAAACACAAGGAAATTGGGCACATTCTGACTCCTTAAATTTATTCTCATTGTGTGGGGGTTTGTTTGTTTGTTTGTTTTAAACAAGTTCTTGCTCTACAATCTTCTCAAGGGCAGTACTGGACTTGCAGGCATGCCACCCCTAAGTCCACCATTGCCATCCATTTTGCTGCCTTTCACAATAGGCTTATTGTCTGGACAAAGCTTCCTAACTGGTGGGGTCAGCATACAAAGCAGGTATTCTAGAGTTTTGTTTGTTTTTTGTGTGTGCATGTGTGTGTATGTGTTGTGTTGTGCTGTTGTGCTTTTTTTTTTACAATAGACAAACACTGGTGCACCTTTCCCACTAGGCTGCTGGGATAAGAACAGCTTTCCCTGCCATGTACTATTGACCCACGATGCTCTGCTCAAGTACAGAGAATCAAGCAACTGCGATCTGAACCCTCTGAAACAGTGAGCTGAAATGAATAGTCCCTTCCTTATGCCGTTCCTGTCAGGAGCTTAGTTACGGCTATGCAGACCTAGCTAACATAGAAAACAGCGTCAGAGAAACTCCGCTTTGTTGTGAATGAGTCCGACCACATGGTTCCTGTAGGCCTTTGGGGTTCGTCTGTGGGTGAGGGAGACTGATGTGCTAGTGAAATATATTCTATCAGCTGGGACCAATGTTACTAAAACTAATGAAATTCTAAGAAATTCTAATAATGAATCCTATTTTGTTAGAAAGAGACACACATAATCATCCAAGAATTTCTAAGTTTAATGAAATACAATAAAGAAGATAAATACTACTCAGAAAATCTAGGCCATAACAGGTAAAGCCACAGCCAGCATTCTACTCATAGAGACCATTGAAGCATTTTCTCTAAGATCAGGACGAAGACAAGAACGTCCGCTTTCCCTACTTCTGTTCAACTTAGTACTGAAGGAGTCTGCCAAGGAAAGGAAATAAATGGCATTTAAATCAATAAAAAAGAATATGCTAAATTGTTGCTACTTTTGGGTGACATGATACAGCTTGCAGAAAACCCTGAAAACTTCATAAACAAGTATTAGAGTATGTAACAAATTCAGCAAAAAATTTAGATACAGAATAAACACACAAAATCAGTTGTACTTCTTCACCTCCCAAAAAACCTATACAAAATGAAAACCAATTTCATATTCAATAAATCAGGGAAATGAATAAAAAATTCAAGTCTTAAATTTATATAGAATCAGCAAATGCTCTGAATAGGCATACACACACACACACACACACACACACCCTTGAGAAAAAAACAAAAACAGGCTTCTGGGTAGCCAAGTCTGTCCTGGCCGGTAGGTGTGGTCACAAACTAACCCACTTGCTGTTCCTGGCCTTCAGTTCTAGCCCACAGACGGCAGCCACCCTGGTCCTGTCCCCTGGGCCTGCTCTCACAGGCTCACTGGAGATGGCTTTGATATATGGTGTGTTTCCTTCTTACGGACTGTAATCTTCTGGTGGGCTGCGTAACTCGGCACTCCCACTTCCTCAAGGGGTTATCCCTTGTTCTGCCATCTACCAGGGAAGCATTTCAGATGTTTCTGAGCCAGGAGACAACCTGGCAGCCATTGTCTCATTTCTAGCATGAGCTGCATGGACCCCACCTTATCCTAAGGAACAGACTTCCCTGGATGATGTTATGGTTCCCTGGATGATGTTATTGGTTGTGCTCAGAACCCATCTGACTGCTGAGCAGCTACGGACACTTCCTCCCTTAGGCGGCCCAGATGTTCCTGAGTAGCTCTGTTGCAGTTTAACCCTGGGTCTAACTTTGGCAGCAGAAGGGAGGGGAAGTGGATCCTGACATGGGCAACTGTTACTTTTCTGTCTTGCTCTGTGAAATACTAAGCTATGAAAGGAAGGGATGAGTCACTCATATTAGGTCAGTGCCATCAAATCCTGGGCTCCATGTTCAGGCTTTTCTGCACACTATGGCAAAGCCTGGAGGCTGGTTTATAAACCTTATCTCCTAACTTTTTAAAATTATTTTCATTTTTGCCTTATTAGCTTGCAATGCATGGATATAAACACAAAGTCTCTTCTCTCTCTCTCTCTCTCTCTCTCTCTCTCTCTCTCTCTGTGTGTGTGTGTGTGTGTGTGTGTGTGTGCGTGTGTGTGTATGCACACATGTGTTTCTAAAGATCAGATTCCAAGACTCACCACAGGGCAAAGGCCACGCTTTAGAAAAGTCCTGCATTTGGAAGAAATGGCCTTCACCCCAGCATCTCCTTCAGACTGGAAGCTCCCCTGGAAGGAGCGTGTGACTGTTACCACCGCTTTACTCAGACATTGGCCAGGAGCCTTCTTCAAGAACATGAATCCAAGGTGGGTCCTGACGAAGACAGCAGCCGGAGGTGGTCAGAGACCCTTGACAAAGCAGCACACACTGTCTGTCACAGAAAACTAGGAAGCGTAGCCAAATCTAGAACCCAGGGGAAAGAAACAGCAAGCTAGAAACAAATTAAATCCAAGGGAGGAAGCACGGCAGCTTAGCATGGAAGCAGTGAGACAGAAAGCTGGTGAACAGAGGAAAAGCCACCAAGTCAAAGCAGGCTCCTCATAAAGAAAGGAGAAAACTGGTAACTCCCTAGAAAATTCACCGAGAGCAGCTGGGAAAGGGGAACCCCAGCTGCCGATGCCATCAGTCAATACACTTTGAAAGATAATAAAAGGCTGTTAAGAACGTTTTATACCAGTCTATTTGTCAACTTAGACAAATTCCTTGAAAACACAGTATCAAGAATGTCCCACAAAAGCGTTCCAATAATGCTATGTCTGTCAGAGTAATTGAATGCACAAAGAAAATTCTAGTCTCAGATGTAGCACTGAAAACTCTTACAAATGTTTATAGAAGAATTATAACCATCTTATACAGACTCTTAGAACATAGAGAGTAAGGGAGCCCTCTCCAGGTGTTTTGTGACGTCTTGATACATTAGCTTATCAAAGCTGGTATAAGAAGGTACAATTATAAGTCAATTTTTACCAAGCTAAGATACAAAATACCAAAATTAAAGATTAACGACCCCAGTTCATCAATGTGGTGCTGTGGCTTGAACATGGAGTACTCTCCACAGGTTCGGGTTTTGAGCACTTGACCCCCAGTATGTGGTGATGTTTTTTGGGTATTTTTTTTTTATTTTATTTTTGAGACAGGGTTTCTCTGTAGTTTTTAGTGCCTGTCCTGGAACTAGCTCTTGTAGACCAGGCTGGCCTCGATCCACCTGCCTCTGCCTCCCGAGTGCTGGGATTAAAGGCGTGTGCCACCACCACCTGGCACATGGTGATGCTTTAAAGGCTGCGAAGTCTTTAGCAGGTGAGACCTGGATAATAGAAATGTCACCAGGAGCCTGCCTTTGAAGGTTATACCCACCCCTGATTCCAGGCTGAAGTCTTTGCTTCCTGGTCTGCTCTGATTGGACAATACTGCACCACACACTCCAGTCACAACATAAAAGTGACTAATACATCTGGCTTATCAAAGGAATCCAAGATTTGTTTAGCACTCAAAAATCAATCTGCGGACATAACTCACCTTGTTAAAAGAATGAAGGATGAATAAGAACTATTAGGTTTTAAATGGCATGTGATAATGCTATACCCACTAATAATAATAATAATAATAATAATAATAATAATAATAATAATGAAACCTTAGCAGGAGCTGGGGAAATGGCTCAGCTGGTAAAGTACCTGTCAACAGAAGCATGTGGATGAGTGTGAGTCCCAGCATCCATGAAAAAAAGCTGGGCCCAGTGACACACGTTTGTAATCCTTGTGCTGAGGGAGCAAAAAAAGGCTGATCCTTGGCCTTCACTGACCAACAAAACAACACTAATTGGCAAGTCCCAGGTCCCAGGGAGCAACACAGCCTCAAAAAACCAAGGTAGACAGCTCCTAAAACAAGACATACATGCTAGTCTCTGCACACACAAATACCCACACAAACATATACTCCCATATTTACACACACACACACACACACACATCACAGAAAGCGCTCAGCAAGCTAGAACTAAATATGTACTTCCTCAGTGTGATTTTTAAAAAAAAAAAAAAATTGGAGCTAGCCAAGTATTTCACACTCAATCTCTCAAGTTCTCCATGGGGTTCAGGACCAGGCTTGCCTGTTATTGTCCCTTCCTGCAGCTGAGTTGTCTCAGTCACCGAGACAAAGTGGGAACAATAAAGAAAGGGTATAGAGTTTGCATAGAAAAATATGTAAAACCTTCATTTGAAAACAACATGTTATGTCATAAATTATTTTAATAACCTGCAAACTATTGAATTTAATAACTAAATTCAGTAAGGTGATTAGATGCATGGTTAATATACAAATCCGGTTAAGAGGTGTCCAACACAGTATAGAAGCTGGCTTTTGAGCAGGAGGTGTAGCTTCATTGGTCGAGTGTTTGCTTGAGTTCCATCCCCAGCATGACACAAATCAGGTGTGAGATTGAAAGTTGGGATCTATCGTGACCCCACTCATATAAGTTTTTCCAGTTCCCATCCACTTACCTGCAAATTTCACGATTTCATTTTTCTTTGTAGCTGAGTAATATCCCATTGTGTATTCGTACTATGTTTTCATTACCCATTCACCAGTTGATAAATGTGCTGGTGGATTCCATTTCCCAACTATTGTGAATTGAGCTGCAGTGAACACAGATCTCTGTAGGGTGACATAAAGTCCTTTGGCTATCTGCCCAAGCTGGGTCGTATGGTAGTTCTATTTCTAGTCCACAGTTCCTGTATTAGTCTATGCTCCTACAAAATGTAAGAGCTGCCCTTCCCTGACATCCACACCCGAATTTGTTGTCATTTGGATTCCTAATTTGACCATTCTTGAGGTGAGATGAAATCTGAAAGTAGCTTTGATCTGCATTTCCCTACTAGCTAAGGATAGTGACCTGCTTATTTTTAAAATGTATTTACAGTCATTTATATTTCTTGTTTTAAGAACTTTTTGCTTGGTTCCATAGTTCATTTTCAGTTGAGTTGTTTGTTTTCTTGAAGCTTAGCTGTTTGAGTTCACTGTATATTCTAGACCTAATCCCCTGCACCATATGTAGCTAACTGAGATTTTCTCCTATTCCATGTGCCGACTCTTTACTCACCATTTCCTTTGCAATACAGAGTTTCCAAAACTTCATGAGATACCATTTATCAATTGCTGACCTCATTTTCTGCATGGAAAGTCCATAGATGTAACCTATGAGCAACCAAACACTGTCTGATTGGGAATGAGCCTGCTCCACAGGACAGACATCACACCCAGTACTATAAACCTGATCAAAAGTCCATGACTGTGGAGATCACAGACCCTAGTGGGGGAAAGCCTACTGCCTCTTCTCATGTATTTGACCAATACCATGTCTTATGTCCTTTCCAGTGTCCTTCATTGGTTTCAGCAAACCTTGATTTACTAAATTAGTGCCTAGTTTATTTAGCGTTTTGCTAGAAGGCTATGATCTTATTGGTGGGTTAACTGGACCACAGAAAAACAACAATAAAGGTGTGCGGCTAAAATACCAAAGAGAAAAATCAGCAAACAGCCAGAAGTGGCCTTGAGCAACTCAGCTGTGGGAGCGTGCAGGTGACAAATGTTTTCTGAAATTTCTCAGAAATCTAAAGGGGAAACTATATTTCCCAAAGTCACATGGGGGATGAGGACTCCGTTTTTTGCTTGATTATAGAGGAACGGTGTCAGCACCACTGTCTAGAGACTTGGGAATATCTAGGCTGCAATTCCTCTATCAATAAATAACATCTTTCAGAAGCTATAACACCACCTAGCTTGCAAAGCATTTTCATTTTTTATTATACCATTTCAAATATAATTTGTTACTGTTTTTCTCTCTGAATCCACCTTAAAAAGGCAATATATTTTCCCTAAATGATATGTTTGAAGGCTTCTAAACAGAACGAACCCACATTCAGAATAGCACTATGTAATCATTTTTTTCCACGGGTATTAAATAAGCCATTCTCTGTATAATAAAGGAAGCATTTAACTTGTTTGAAATGTTATATTTCAAAACTTAGGCCTAATTTTCAGGAAATCTTTACTGGGGGAGTTTGTTCATACCTTGCAGTAGTGTAGCCCAGGGGCTTACAAACCTGTTCTCTTGGATGCTGGGATGCAGGGACAACACATAGAGGAGTAAATAAAAACACAGCAACCGTCTGTCCACCCTGCAAATGTGGACCTGGAGCTCCCATGGGAGGGATGGAGGTCATCTGTGGTGTAGAGGGACAGTTCAATCAATGGCTTTTGTTTTACTCAGGAATAATTTCCTGTGTTCTTTCCTTTCCTAATCTGGAGCTCTTTGACCAGTTCTCTCTTTCTCAACAAAGAATTGTCCTCCTTCTGCATTACAGAAAGAAGGTGCAAAGTTTGGCCACATGCAGCCCACAGTAACCAACGCAAAAGGCTCTAAGTGTGACCAAGGCCTGGAGGCCATCTGAAATTCCTTTGAGGATATAGCTAGTGCCAGGTAAAATGCTGGAGAAGTAAAAGACACAAATGCTTACAAATCTAGAATGAATACATTTTTAATGGTTCATTTTATTCATTAATGAAACAGTAGCAGAATTGTGAAGCTGATGCAAGAGAGATTGGAGGCACTGAGCGTGTCTAGGCTTCAAAAGAAAGAGTGCTGGAAAGAGATCTTTCAGGTAGAAAATTGGTTTCAGACCAGCAGGGCAATAAAATAATAACCTTTGTTAGATTTTAAATTTTTATTTATTGCAACTCTGTGTTTGTGTGCATGGATGTGTGTGTGTGTATGTGTGTTACATGTATGAATGCAAGCCTGCATGTATGCACAAGTAAAGGTCAGAGGACAACCTTCAGGAACCAGTTCTCTTCCTCCAATATGAATTCTAGGGATTGAATTCAGATTATCAAAACTGTAGGGCAGGAGTTTTACAGGAATGAGGCATCTGGCTATGTCTGGCTATTTTTTTTGAGTGAATAGAAATTATAGAAACATTATTGGGCAGAAGTCAATCCTCTTGAAAATGTTACATGGTAGTCAGTCTCATGCATGCTGTTTATGTAATTGTGCCGCTATTAGCAATAAACTTTGCTGTGGGATAATGCTCTTGACCATGTAAAGATTTGTCACTTGTGTTGATTTAATAAAATGCTGATTGGCCAGTAGCCATGCAGGAAGTATAGGCAGGACAATCAGACTAGGAGAATTCTGGGAAGACAAAAGGCTCAGTCTGCAGTTACCAGCCAGACACAGAGGAAGCAAAATGAGAATGCCACATGTCTAAACATAGATAATAATTATGGGTTAATTTAAATTGTGAGAATTAGTTGATAATAAGCCTAAGCTAATAGGTCAAAGAATTTATAATTAATATAAGCCTCTGTGTGTTTCATTGGGACTAAACATCTGCAGAACCAGATGGGGCAGAAACTTCCCGCTACAAAATGGCACTCAAACATTTGGCAAGAATTTCCACATAAAGCCTGAGAAAACGTTTTTAAAAAAATGATCTAGACAGACAAAAGAACAGAGTCAAGCACAGCTTCTTGGTAACAACATTGTCTGTGGTGGGCTCTGTTTGCTAGAGGCAAGTAGAGGTATAGCTTTTTTAAGAGAGGCTCTGCAACCAAACACTTAAATGATGTGTATGAGCAGCCAGTGGCATGCTTCTTAGTGGTGGCATGAACCTAGAAATTACAGAGTTGTGGCAAAAAATGTGGCTCCTGCCAGTGCTTCTACCATGAAGCTAGATTCTCAGGAAACCAAGGAGTGGGGTAAATCCAGCCACCAAAGCCGCAGCTTTAATCCTAGCCATATCACTTAGTAGACTAAAGACTCATGTGCTTAGAAAAAAATAGAGATATACAATAAAGGCAGATTCAGACAGAAGAAAAAACACCTTATAAATGGTTTGCAATATGTTTAAAAATATACATAGGCTTGGGAAAGAAAAGGAAAAGGATAGAGAAAGTTTAAAAAAAAAGGAAATATAGTCAGGTATGGTAGCATACGCCTTTAATTACAGCTCTTGGAAGGCAGAGGCAGGTGGATCTCTGTGAGTTTCGGGCCAGCCTGGTCTACAGAGTAAGATGTAGGACAGCCAAGGAAAACAGAGAAATCCTCTCTCAAAAAAATTAAAAATGAAAAAATAAATGTAAAAGTAATCGAGTTTTTAAAAAGCCATATAAAGATGGAAACTAGACAGAGAGTCTAAACACTGTATGTTATTGTGTTGTCTCTGAATTATTTGTCTGCTAAGAAAGGAGCTACAGCTGCTAAAAGACATTTGGTTATAAATGCTGCTATATTAATTCAACATATATATTTCAAAAATGCCTTGAATTCAAAATTTAAGTCAAAAGATATATTACTTTGGAGAAAAGGTTTTTCTTTTGTTTCCACAGAAAATGAGAGGTTGTGGATTCATCATTGGTTGAGAAAAATAAGGTTTGATCGAGGAAGACCCACTGGAAAATCTCTGATAGCAGATGGCCCAGATGATCCAATGTTTTAGAGGACCTATGTTTCAGTTTCCTCTGAATTCTACATCCAGAACAGCTTCAAGACTGCTGGCTGAGGTGATCCAGGCTCACAGAATACTGTAGTCAGGACTTGATAATAATACTAAATTTTCTTTGAGTCCCCATAAGATTATCAGTGTCCCCAATCAGCAGAAAGTAGCCTAGAACACTACACCCACATTCCCCCCAAGATGGATTGTGAATGTTTATCTTTGTTTAAAGTGTTGGTTACAAGTTGTTATGGACAATGGTTAGGAAAAAAAGTTAAACAAAAGAGATTTGATTTAGAGTTCTTGTTTGAAAAGAAGAAAAGAAGAAATGCTGTGGGGTAATGCTTTTAACCCTACAAAGATTTGCCACTTACATTGGTTTGACAAAACACCGATTGGACAGTAGCCAGGCAGGAAGTTTAGGTGGGAAAAGCAGAATAGAAGAATTATGAGAAAAGAAAAGGCTCAGTATGTAGTCAGTCACCAGCCAGATGCAGAGGAAGCAAGATGAGAATGCCTCACTGAGTAAGGTACCAAGTCACAAGGCTAAATAGATAACGATTACAGGTTAATTTAAATTATAAGAGCTAGCTAGAAGTATACTTGAGCCATTGGCCAAACAGTGTTGTAATTAATACAGTTTCTGTGTGATTATTTGGGTGTGGGCAGCTGGAAAACACATGGGCAGTCTCGAACTATGAAACTTAAATTTTAAAATTCATTTCCACTGATAAGTCTATAAATTAGTGTCTCATTTCACAGAATCTGCACCCTATCAAGCAGTCAATCACTCTAGATCATGCTCAAATGTGACCCGGTCTTCCTTAAACATAGCAGGTTTGGATGATTTTGTTCATATCAGGAATATACAAAGAAATAAATCATACATATTTTAAGCATCTTAATTTAAAGATTTAGTCTTTTCAGTCTATAAATGGCAACCACTTTCCCTGTGATCTATATATGTATTTGATATATTTGCTTATTTATTTTCACAAGAGACTCTAGTCCTGTCTTGCCCACCTAGGAAGAAGTGCAGAAGTTACCTAATCTCATTTCTTTCACTTTTACTGCTGTCTTCAGAGAAGTTAGTGCTCGTGAGAAGGGATGGAAGGGCCAGAACATTCCAGCCATTCCATGAGCTGTCAGCCAAAGGTAAGGAAGATGCTTATGATGCTGTTGCAGCCTATATTAAAATAGTCCGACATTGGCTCAGAATGGAATATAATAAAGGTTTATTTATTATTTAGGGGTAGATCCACAGAAAAGGCAGTGATCAGCAGTCCTCTGTGTGGGCAGGGAACTGGGATCAAGTTCCAAAAAGAACTTTGGGATCCAGCAGCCAAAAAGAAAAAAAAAAAAGGGTCACACATGATTTTACATCTGTATATATAGTACATGTGATCTTCCCCAAAGTGGGCCAGTATCTTAAAGGCTATTGGATGAGGAAGTTCCTACAGGATGATGCTACCGTAGAAAGTTTAAGGAATAAATTTCCAGGGAAAGCCAACTCAGAACAACAAAACAGAATGTTCTGCATGTACTCTGAAATGTGGTTAATAAAAACAAATATTAATGTAGCCCGCTTGGGTCGAGCATGCTGTGATTAAGTAAACATCAGTGTATACTACAGAGCTAGGGAAAACTGGGCACCCTGTAGGAAGTTCCATGGAGCATTCCCTGATCAGACTGAACACCAAAATGCAGGCTGCATAGAGAGACGACATGCAAGAGTGAACAGGGCAGATGGTACCTCTGAGGGACAAGAGCACACACACTTCAGTTCTCTAACAAAAGGGCTGCCTCTACCATCTTGAAGAAAATTTTGGAGAGAGCAGAAATCGATTAATGAAATTTTGATATTCAGTGACAACTTACTGGTCAGGCTGGTTTGCCATCTTAAAACTCCAGCCACAGATGGCAGCACACATTGATACTGCAGCCACTAAGTAGGAGCATGTAGCCCTGTGGGGACTGGAGAGAACTGAGGACTTCCAGTCCCATTGGGAGTTGTCAGGCTTTATCCAAGACCTGCTTGTTGTCCTGTGGAAACAAGGATTGACTTGGGTCAAATCTTCAGATTGGTTTTTGAAGCTGAAAGAAAAATCTTGATTTCTGGGTGTTCTCATTTAGTTTTGCTGTGTTTTCCAAATTTTGATAGAAGTGTTTTAGAAGGTTGGTACAAAGAGGAAAAAACTCTATCCACAATTGCAGAGGTTAATGACCTCCATGTGCTTGGTTCCCTGGGGACCCAGTTTCGCTAAAGCACTATAAAATTCCTTCACCATCTGGTCCCCATCCCCAGACAATACCCCCAAATTGTCTCTTGCTCTCCTCTTTCTCTGTATGGAAAACTCTCTGCCAAATGTTTAATTCAGCCTTTCCTAAGATTTGCCTTTCAAATCATATCTTGCTTGGTTCACTGCAGCTTTGCATGAGTGAAGCTCCACCTGTGTTTGACCTTGGCATCTACAAAATACACTCCAGTTTGAAACTGGAATCCCTTCTACAGCTTGCATGAAAAGAAGTGTGTGTGTGTGTGTGTGTGTGTGTGCCCATGGTTAGTAGTAAGAATACTGAATTGAACTGAGAAAAGGGGATCTATCCCAACACACAAGGTGAGATATGAATAGCATGTGAGATATGAATAGTATGGAACACAGAGTAGTTACTAAATCAAGACTGTTTTCTTAGTCACATTGCTTCATAATTGCTAGTTTTGGTCCTCAACCTCAGCAACATAGAACAATTCTTTAGGAAGCCTTTATAACAACAGTTGTTTAGGTACCACCCCAGAGATTCAAAGAAATTCATCAGTGGAGGACAGGGTCTCCACTGAGGCAGGGATGGTTCCCTCAGAGCTTTCTCTCCCATTTTTATTACTCAATAACATGTGACTTTTGTCAGAAAGCCTATGATGTCTTAGGTATCCCATTTCTATGATAAAACACCATGACCAAGGCAACTTTTAGAAATTTATTAATACTCTGATTTCAGAGGATTAATAAGCAAGCTGAGACTCACATCTTGAACTTCAAGCATAAAACAGAGAATGTGACTTGAAAATGGAAACCTCAAAAGCCTGGCCCTGGTGACATACTTCCTACAACAAAGCAGTATGTCTTAGACCCTCTGAAAGAGTGTCACCAACTGGGAACCAAGTGTCCAAACACCAGAACCTATGGGGGACATTCTCATTCAAACCACTATACCATGTCCTCGAAAAGTTCAGAAAAACTAATTATTTACTTAAATGTAAAATAAAGACAGAAAGAAATAAGAGAGAAAGTATGAAATATTTGAAATAATACATGTAGATCAGTGCATCCCTCAGGCCTCAAAGGAATTTCTTCTTACAGCACATGCTAATTAACAGGGACCAACAACCAGACAAGGTGCAGAGTTTGACATTGGAGCACCAGGTCCTAAATAGGATGTTTGTTTTTTTTTTTTTTTATCAAACCCTTCCTTTCAAGGTCAGGGATATATGTGGAAGAGGAGTTGGAAAGGCCATAAGAGTCAGAGGTGGTGAATAACATCAAACCAAACAGCATCTTCCAGAAACAATATGGTTGCTACCTATATGAACTCACAGACTGTGTTAGCATGTGTAAGACCTGCACAGACTCAAGCCAGAAAAGATCCAAGCATGAAGGTAGGAAAGTGGGCACAAAAATTCCAACCATAACCAAGAAGTTATTCACAAATAATAGTTTATTCTAGAGAGAAAATTAATTTCCTTCAATGGAGTAACACTGGTGTTGCTAGAACACACTCCAGAGCAGGCTCCATTCTCTAGAGTAGTTAGCCAACATAAAACAGACTCCATCTTGTATGCTTTTTGTTTGGTTTGGGTTTTGGATTTTTCTTGAAGAGAGAAAGAACATGAAGTTGGGTAGATAGAGATGTGGAAGAAGATATGGGAACACTAAAAGGAGGGAAAATATAATAAAATAAAATGTGGAAACAGCTTGTTCCAATACTGAGGGGACTTAAGAGGTGAGCAAATAGTTGTAGGGCCCCCGGGTCTCCCCTTACTCCCTGGGGTGCGTCTCAAGGACAGTTTGGTCTGCCAGCTAAAGCTTCCTGCTGTTCCTGTGTTCTCTCTGCCATGGCCTGGTGATTTAGCTGTAGGGCTTTGCTTCATCTTTGGTATGGTAATTTCCCACCTGCCTGGGAGAATTCCTACATGGCACCAAGTTCCCTCTCCGCTGCTGTCACTGCTCTCCGCCCCCAACCCCCTGCCTGGGAAGGTATCCCTAGGCGCCAGGTCCCATAAGGCACCAGTTTCCCCTCTGGCTGGGAGGGAATTCCTTTACTGGGGCCAAGGTATATTAGCTTTACATTAAGCTGAATAAAGTGGCATTCAGTGATCTCTTGTCGAATGACCCAGGTCTCTTGTGTGTGTGTTTCTTTCAATCTCCAGGTCTTTACCCAAACTCACATGAGGTACGGTTGCACGCGAACCGTACCAAGAGGGTAACACAGAATAGGGTGTTACAAATAGCCACACAGTGAGACATCCTACTCTCTAGGACCTTCACAGTGGAACATAACCCTGGGCCCCTCCCCCAACTCCCTCAACTTTTCTAGCCAGCCAGCAGGAGACCTTCTTGCAGGTAGGCTCCCCCAAACCCAATCCCATCTACCTGACCTTCACACTACTGGTCCTACCCCACCCCCAAACTCACCTAGCCAATAAGAGGCTACAGATAATGGGCCAGGCAGTGTTTAAAAGAATACAGTTTCCGTGTAATTATTTCGGATAAAGCTAGCTGGGATCCGGGCGGTGGGAAGCGGCCCACCGCTCCTTCAACACTCACCCATCCTCCTGTAACCTTGGTGGAACTCTGAAACAAGCCTTGCTCCAATACTGGGGGGGGATTTAAGAGCAACCTTGGTGGAACTCTGAAACACAGCTTACTATAATACTGAGGGAAACAAGAGTTTGCTACAAAACTGAGGGACCAAGAGAGAGGACCAAGGAAGCGAACCAGGATAGAAGACCAAGCAAGCACACTTAGAGAGACCTCAGAGGCTTCCTGAGACAAAGATATTGACCAAGAAAAAGTTCCAAATACTCAGACAGCCACTGCAAGGATTGGACAAAGGTGCAAAGACACTGCTGGCCTCATTTGAAAGAAGAGATGGATAGGCGCCAATGCAAGAATTCATCCAACAACCCAAAAATCAATATGGGAACACCAGAATCCGGTGGCCATACAACAGGAAGACTTGATCATGCTAACCCAGAAAAGGCAGAAGAAAGCAACTTTAAACATAACTTTATAAAAACTGAAAGAAACCTTTAAAGAGTAAATTTTAAAAACTCCCTTAAAGAAATGGAGGAAAAGACAAACAGAAAATTGGAAGAAATTAATAAATCCCTCAAAGAAACCAAAGAAAACCAAGAAAAAAAAAAACGATCAAACAGGTGAAACAAACAGTTCAAGACTTGAAGATTGAAAAAGAAGTATTAAAGAAAACACAAACTGAAGGAATTCTGAATATGGAAAATCTGGTAAAAGAACAGGAACTACAGAGACAAATATAGCCAACAGAATACAAGAGATCGAAAAGAGAATCTCAGGGGGTGAAGATACTGTAGAGGAAATAGACACATTGGTCAAAGAAAACATTAAAATCAACAAATTCTTAACACAAAGCATTCAGGAAACCTGGGACACCATGAAAAGATAAAACCTAAGAATAATAGGAGAAGAAGAAGAAGAAGAAGAAGAAGAAGAAGAAGAAGAAGAAGAAG